TCCACCCACAATCACCCCACCAACACCACCACCACCACCACCTCCATGCCTAAGAGTAATCTTGGTTCTTCCCACCTGGAATAGGCTGAATTTGATACTAGGATATAGCCACCCAGCTGGGTCCAAAAGGTCCCAGAAACCCCGGTGTGTGGAAAGAAACCAAATACAGGATGGTTATTTCCAGTTAACACCTGCAACTCCAGATGTCCTAATAAAAATAGTGAGGCAACAAATGGCCACGTTCGAGCCAGAGAACCACCCTTGAACTCAATGTTTTCAAGAACCAAGAGCAGCTTTTAAGCTTTTCTTAACCTAATCGCATGATTTGGGACATAAAATGTTTAGCTACACTCTGGCTTGGGGGAGAAAGCAAGCAGAGGTGAACATATTCTGTAGTGGCATGACTTCAGGAGATGACTCATCTCACCCTGAGGGACGAAGGGATACTGCCTGCTCCTTAAGCAATGCCAAAGTTCTTCAGACTGTGATGCGAATCAGGCATCTGATCCAGGCATTATTATTGGGAAAAGGTGGACAATTTCTCTCTCCCTCGGCCCTCCTTTTCTTATTGCTGGTTTTATCAGTTAGAAGTGAATTATGATTTAATCCCTTCTGCTGCTAAGGGTGTTACAAAATATTGGTTGCAATGTAGTTATAAGAGTATTTAAGTAAAAGAGAAAGGCAAAAAGACAAAAAGAGAGAGAAGGAGAAGAGAGGAAGGAAGAAAAGGGGAAGGAAAGGAAAGGAAAAGAAGGAGGAAAGAAGGAAAGAGAAAAAAAGGGAAGGAAGGAAGGAAGGAAAGAAAGAGAAAGAAAGAGAGAGCGAGAGAGAGAGAGAGAGCGAGAGAGAGAGAGAGAGCGAGAGAGAGAGAGAGAGCGAGAGAGAGAGAGAGAGCGAGAGAGAGAGAGAGAGCGAGAGAGAGAGAGAGAGCGAGAGAGAGAGAGAGAGCGAGAGAGAGAGAGAGAGCGAGAGAGAGAGAGAGAGCGAGAGAGAGAGAGAGAGCGAGAGAGAGAGAGAGAGCGAGAGAGAGAGAGAGAGCGAGAGAGAGAGAGAGAGCGAGAGAGAGAGAGAGAGCGAGAGAGAGAGAGAGAGCGAGAGAGAGAGAGAGAGCGAGAGAGAGAGAGAGAGCGAGAGAGAGAGAGAGAGAAAGAAAGAAAGAAAGAAAGAAAGAAAGAAAGGAAAGAAAGAAAAGAGAAGAGGGAAGGGAAGAGGAAAGAAAAGAAAAGAAGAAGGAAAGGAAGAGAAAGGAGAAAAGGGAAGAAAAAGAAAAGCCGGGGTGGGGTGGCGGGTGGAGAGAGAGAGAAGAATAAAATATTGTAGCCAATGACACAACTCATCATCACCATTAGCAAAAAAAGATGGATAGGCATGGAAAAATCCTTGCCTGTATACTGAATGGAGCACAGTTGATTAACTTAGATCATTTATACATATAATGAAAGTAGCATATGCTTTTACAATTATGCAGTGTTGAAGGAGAGCATCAGGGAGAAAGGATAGTTCCAGTCACATGCTTCTGGATTCCTTTATCTTAAAGTCATCGGATCAGGGCCAGGTTGCCACAAAGTGCTCAGTGATCCATGGGAAATGAACATGTCTTCATTCCAGGGCTTAATATATGCATTACATCACTATTAGAAGCAAGCAAGTCTGTGGTTGTTGGCTCCAACACGGATTAAGGTCAAAAGTGTCCCCGGAGACCAAATTTCCCTAGTGAGGGTTTGCCCACAACTCCATGTGTCCTTCACTTCTGAATTCTCTCTTCTCCTAGAAGCAACTACTAAACACCAAGCTTCTCAGTCTGGTAGTATGTCTACATAAGGTTTATTCTTCTTACAGCAAAGAACTGGAGAAACAGAAGTGAGACTGTTATTATGGGTTAAATTGTGTTACACGCAACTTGTGGTGAGGGTCCAGTTTCTTTTTATTGTACTCCAATTTTGTCGTAATGATGATTGCTTGAAATAAAAGGGCAGTTGACAGGGGCTTAGAGATAACAGGGATGGTTAAGTGATTTTTATAGCGGCAGTACCGGTTGTACCAGAATTTGACCTGCATGCTGCATATTAGTTTTATTCATCACATTGAGAACTCGGCATTTCCATTGTTCATGCCATAATATGCAAAGCACTGTAGCATGAAAGTCACTTACAAAGCTACGAAACAACTCTCTAAACACAAAAGTTCAGGTAGGAGGAGGTTTTGTTCAGCTAAATGTTCTAGATAGTCAAAGATTTTTTCCTTGAAAGGTGTTTTTACCACTTGTGATATATTTCTAAAATCTTGGATATGCAAATTATTGCCTTCTGAGTATAATTTAGTTTCTTTAGATGTGATACTAAGGGTCATTCATCATTTGAATTTATACTGTCCAGTGACACAATGAGGCTTTTAGGGATTGAGAAGTGTATAGAACCATTTTGGCACTAAATGCCTCCCTAAAACATTGCTTTTTGAGCTATTCAGTCTACTGAAAATTGTTTGGCTTCCCTATTACTGTCAGGTCTTTTTCCTTCTTGATCTGTTTCCTCTAGAAGTCTGTTTTTCACTCTTAAATCTAATCTGCTGTAGGCTTGGAAACCAGACATCAAACGTTTAGAATTAGGTGTGAAGCAGAAATAAAAAGGTTCTAAGTGGGTGCTTTATGGGTGGATGGGTGACCTTTCCTTCATGTGTTGGCTTTGTAACATTTATTTCAATTGGTCAGAAGCCTTGTTTGCTTAGTTCCTAGTTCTCATTTTTGAATGGGTCCAGCAGAGGTTCCAGATTTTTCTAGTTTTGTCTCAATTACTCATTGTCAAACCACTGTTTTGGATTTCATGTTCCGGAAATAAGGATAGGTGAAGCTGGTTAATGGTCAAGTCCAAGCAAAAGGACTGAATCCTTAAAATGGTATGAAGGTTGTGGGCCATTTTTGTAAGGTAAATGGTATGCTGTGGCCAAGATGGCTAAATTCAGTAAATGAACTATAAAATAGACGATCTGTGTTTGCAGTCCCTTTCCAACAATACAAAGCTGGCCGAATGTCAAGCTGTTGAAGAAGCCTTCAAGATATTTAATTACAGATTCAGTTTCAACATTGGCTGACTTTCGAAATTCCAAATCCGTGGCAAGAGAAACCCTGGCTTTGCCTTCCCTGATTTCGTTATATATGGCCTAGGAATAAAGAAGATAAAGCAAGTCTAACAGTTCCCTCCTAAAAGTGTAATTTCAGGTCAGGAGAGGATTTCATTGCTACTCTTAGCTCTTTCCTCACTGTACACTGCACTTCGCAGACAGTAGAGAGCAAAGCCTAAAAAGGGGCAAATACCTTTGCCCCAAGGCCATGCTGTACCTGTTTACGGGAGTGGAGGCAGTGACGTTGTTCACCAATATAAGGTGGGATCACTGCAGCTAGAAGAGAGTAACAGCAGGGGTTGTGAGGTCTGTTAGACCTGGGTTTATTAGACCTGGGTTTAAATCCCTGCTTCTTATTTACTAGGGTGTGACCTCGGGCATAGTATTAACACTCAAAATCTGATTCCCGAGCAATAAAATAGGGGATGATAATGTTGGTGCTGTGAGAATTAAATAAGATAATGTGAAAAGCAACTAGGACAGTGCCTGGCCCAGAGAAAGAGTTCACTAAATGGCAGCTGTTAACGAAAGTGAATAATGTTTAACCTGGAGACTTTAATATTTAATACATACAGATACTCAGCAAGCCAGTTATTACCTTGTCTTTTGTTTTTGTTTCTTTCTGTGACATCTTCTTCTCTTATTAAAACTGACAGACTGATTTTCTGCCAGGTATACCTACCTCTGGTGCCTTGTTAAGGCCAGAAGATTTTCCAGACAAGCTGCAATTTCACCCTTTTATGAGTGTAAAGGAAATGGGGCCACCTGTGAGTTGGACCGAGCAAAGATCAATGAAACAAAATAAAGAGTTGTGGCTTTCAGAGGGAAAGACAATAAAATGAGAAAGGGCTGGGACAATGGGATGTGGTGTTGAGATTTTGGCACCAGGAAGTAGGGCAGAAAACCTCCAAATACATTGTGGTTTATTAAAACACAGACTCCCAAGTGCTACAGTGCGGGGCAATCCCATCCTGCCAGGCAGAAGTGTCCTCAGCAGCTAGGGAGAGAGGAAGTAGGGCCTAATGACTGCTATAGGAGACAGAGAGTCTGCAGTCCTGGTTTCATCAGCACTGCTCACTGGGTGACCTGAAGTGACTGATCCATCTCCCTATCTTGGTACAATTTCTCCAAAGTTCACATACTCTCCTGCTAATTAAAGTGGTCTGATGGAGACAAATTTGTTAAAAAGAAATTTAGAGCAGGGTTCATAAACCATAGCTCCTCCAGACAAACCTGCTGGTGGGTTTTAGGATGTAGTTTTAAAAATCAAATTTTAATGTGCACTTTCTAGTTTATATAGTATCTACTGTCTTGGGTTTTCACATTTTGCCTCTGAGTATACGACTTGTTTACAAGGCAACTTCTGGTCCTTATATTACAAACTGGCCTGGAATTGCTTCATTGACAACATAATTCTATTTCTTCATCAATTATGTCAAATGTGTATTTCTAAGGTTCCACAAAGTTGATTTTGCTGGCCTGTGATTTGAACTACGAAGTTTTTTTTCTAGAAAATATGCTAAAAATTAAAAATTGACCTCCCCACTGGTTAATCCAAATTGCAAAGCTTTCTTATTTGAAAAACATCATTCAGGACCAAGTATTCTTTAGGTTATAATCTACTGTGCTCAGAAAATTTAACTTAGTCAGGGATTGTTTTATTTTGAGAAGACATATCAACATAGCTCTACATAATGATGACTTTCGGTCTGTCCTTCTGCCATTTCCCAGAGACCTCTTAAGCCACTCCAGTCAGGAGTAAATGAGACTCCCATACCTAAGAACCAGACACCATCATCTCTAGCATTATTACAGTTGAAAATGCAGACCATGAATATTTACACCTAGCAGGGTCCTTTGTGCCCAACTCTGAGAGACAAATGGTATTTCCAGTAATAGTTTATTGATTTCCAAATGCACAGGGGCGCTGAATCCAAACATCCTGGGATAGCAGTAAATCTCTCTTACAAAATAATTTACAGTATGAAAATGATATACTGAAACATTAACTCAAACACATAGTTCCCTTGAAAGATTGAGTGTTCCCTTGTTTAATGGAAAGGGTAGAAGGGGAAGATGACTAAGGAGGAAATGTGTGCACAGAAAATCAGGCAGAGAGCAATGGGTTCATTGGTTCTTCCCACACATGCATTGTGGCCTGTCACTGTAGAAAGATTCGTCAGGTTTAACTCCCATTAAGTACAAATATATTGTCCCCTCAAGGCCATATTAAGCCCAGCATGGGCTCTGTGGCACCTTTTTTTTTTTTTTTTTGCACCAGTTTACTCACAACTGTCTTTAATTTATTTTGATTCTCCTGCTGTGACACTTGTTCTGCTGTTTCTGGTGTGTTCTCAGTTCCAAATGCTACTGTTTTACCTTGCAGGCCTCCGAGAGGGCAGGAACTGCCTGGGCCTTATGGCACTTAAGAATGAGCTGGGGTGGGGGCTTCAGAAACACTGCTGGGGAAAGGCAAAATTAATGAGATCTGAAGTCTCCCCTGTGGGCCTTCCTTTTCTCTTAGGGCTGGGCTGAATCCATCCATAATGAGATTTGTTTTTTTTAAAAAAATTTCCAGATGTGCTAGGCAACACTGCTATTGATTTTACCAAAAAGCATGGGTTGAACGACCATATGTGAATGTGAAATTTCAGGTACTGGCAGAAGAATATTTTCTAGGTGGGGGAGAGGACTCCTAGGCCCTGCCACTACAATAAGTTATGAATTCTGCAGCTGCGCAATCAGGCTTGACTAGAGTGGTCAGACTCTCAGGTGTTCAAAATGGCTGGGTAACCAAATTTCCCATATCAAGACAATTTAGTAGGGCTGAAGTAAAATTTCCTTCAGGGCTGTCACCTCGGTGCAATGCTTTAGTAGCTGACAACATTTGCCAAGGAGGTGCTCTTCTTGTTAGCATCTTGTAAATAAGCACCTAAGTTCCAATTATCTGGTAACACTTATAATCAGGGCTGGCAGAAACTTTTGCTGTGGTATGCAAGACAATGAGGGGGCTGCTCTGAATTTCCCTTAGTTCTTAAATTGTGTGTGTGTGTCTGTGCATGTATATACACACATACATATCACTCATGTGTGTACGCATACACATATACATATCAGGTATCAGCTAGAAAGTCTAGATCCACTGGACTTTGAATTACCATATCCTCACAGAGCACAGAACAGGCCAGGTTTACTAAAATATGAAGGTTTCCTTTTCTGCAGTAGTACAGCAGAAAATAAACTGAGAGCAGAAACCCTTCACTCTTACTATTTCTGAGAAGTTCTATACTCTTAAAGGCCTAGAAACTATTTATGGGAGACTGCAACTCCTGGGGACAAGCTTAAGTTAGCAATGTGTACTTAATGCATCTGCTAAAGTAGAAGAATAAAGCTACATCTATGCCATTTCTGAGCCCAAGCTACAGAAACGAAATGTAATTTTAAAAAAGAATTCATAAAGTGGGATGGTCAGACTATAGCAGGGGAACCTGAAGTCTTTTCTCTCTCTGTACTTTAGCTATAGCATGGGTCACGGAGTTAAGGAGAGCTGGGTTCAAAATCCGGCTCCAACGTTTCCTAGCTGTGTAACTCAATGGAAGTGACTCTTCCACTCCAAATCTGTTTTATTATCTGAGAATGGGGGCGTACGACAGGGCCTGGCTCATAGTTAGTCCTCAATACAGGTCATTTCCCTTCCTGGCTGGCAGAGCTGAGACTCCAAGCACTTTTTGGAACTGCCCTAGATTTAAAGACAACAAATCAAAGGACAAACCCCCTCTCAGTCCCCAGACACCCAATATTTGGAAGGCAGCCAGAGATTGGGGATAGGACCCAGTTCATTCTGAAGACATTCACTACCTGCCTCCCTTGATGACTTGTCCCTAGGGATTTCTGCAAAACTTGCAGCCTGAATCCAGTCAGGACACAATTTTGAGCAGTCTAACTTTTACTGACCTGGCAGGAGGGAAGCCTCATACTGCTGGGGCTTGAGGCTGAGCAGCACGTTCCAGCTTTGGGGGAAGCTGGTGCCACCGCAGGAAGCATCCTAGTTCTCACATCGATAAATGGTGCCAGCAGGAACTTAGGAGCCTGGGCAGAAGCTGCTGCACTGTTTAATGCTTCCCTGGTTAAAGTTTTATCAGGTGCTGAAGACAGCAGGAGCCCAAAAAGCAAACCTGAAATCTTTTCTAAGTAAAAGGAAAAGTGCTTTCCTTGAGGCTTACGGAGATATGATAATTTATTACGGCAGGCTGGCATGTATTTTTATATTTCCGTTAATATCCATGGCATAAATACTTGGGTTTCCCAAATACTGACTTAAAGTGATACTATATGATTGGGTATGGTGAGGCCAATGATCTGCCCACTGATAAGGCTACTATTTAGAGATTTAAAAATAATTATTTGGGAAAGATAACACAAGCTTCCAAATCCTATAGACTTCTTAATCTTCTGATTTTTAAATAGAGGCCATTGTCTTTCTTTAAGGGTAGTTTTGTTGGATATGGCTGGGGGTTGTAATTAGTGGTATGCCAAATTCTCCAGCTTTTGCGGGCAGATAGATAAAACACTGAAATTGCCTAAGCCATTTGTAAGCCACCAGTTTGAGAGAAAAATACTTTTTTTTTTAACAACCCAAATTCCTCTCAAATTGATAAATAAGTCCTGACATATTTAGTGAGCTAGGATAATCCTAACCCAGAAGTATATATGCCTGGTTGCTTCCTGGCATCAAAGGAACAATCATTTCATAGCATGCACAGGTTTGAACATAATATAAATAGGATTTCTACAGTAAGTAGGTATTGTTTCTGCCTCAAAACCATCTTGTACACACACAAATCAGCTGGCCCTAAAGCTCTGTGATAGGTACCCAGGTCACAGACAGGCAGGCAGGCAGGAAGAGAGAGATTTCCCCCAGTCCAGGCTCCTTTGATTCTGCCTCAGAGGCACTAGAAGTCTAGACCCCAAGTCAGCAGCAACCCCAAGGCTGTTTGGATGCAGTTAATTGTACTTCTCAGAAATGAATACCAAAATACCACTAAAGGCAGTGGAGAGGAAGCACGTACCCCAACTTGTAAATAAAAATTACCTGCGAAGTCTCCCATTTTATATTAACTAGGTTTATGAGTACGAACATTCTATTTCATCACATAACTGTGTTTGTTTTATTTAAAAATAAGGTCATCTCCTGACTCCAAACATTTCTTAAGTAAAATTGATGTTTTGGAAGATGCAGATTATTTAGCTTGCAGTTTTGTATTCTCTAGGACATCACTGCTCATTTGAGCATGAAAAACTTGGTTGTAAGGGAACGTGATTTGGAAGTGAAAAGCTAGAAGTCCAACCACGATTGTGTCTCTGCTCATGTTACTAAAGAGGAGAAAGCAGGACAGGGAGATGATCTGCAGATTTGTTAGTGGGGAGTGCCAAGGGAAGAGGGGTTCCAGCTGAAGTAAAAAGAGGGTGTAGATGGAGCTCAGAGATCGATTCACACACCACGGAGTGATAAGAATTCTCCCCACACTGCATTTAAGCCAAGTTAGGCTAGGCAGGTGGGGGGAAGGGGGGACAGTAAAAACCTACACTGAAATTCCCATTTGGTAATATACATTCCACCTTTCATGTGACAAGGTCCATAAAACCTGCAGAAGTCACCCAAATAATTCAGGTTCCATCAGATCCTTTAGTGACTATTTTGGAAACTCGGGCAATCTGAGTTCAGAAATAACGATTTCAACTTTTAATCAGATATCTTTGGTCCTCCTTTTTTTTTTTAAGGTCATTTCCTTTCTACCTCTTCAATCATTTTTTTCATTTTCACAGCACTGAATTATGAATCTGAAGTCCTGGATAACCTCATGTACTAAAAATATCTCTATATATTTCTAAATTTTAACTCTTTCTCCAACCCTGTTTTCGAGCCATCCATCTTATTTCATGAAAACACATATTCACAAATGTATAACTGGGCTTTTAGAGACGATTTACGTGGGTTCAGTTGTACTTCGCCCTCATTTATTTCATGCTTCAATATAAATAGAGTGGGGTTTTATTAGCAGGTATGGGAAAAAAAAAAAATCTGACTGCCCTTCAAGATTATTCCAGATCCTTCCTAATGAAAAGATAGTATTTGTGTATACAATATTATAGGGGCTGACTTTCCTGAGTAAGTTCAAAGCAGCCACTGAGGGATTACCCGAAGGACCCTTCTGAATTGCTCCTGGTTGATTGATCACGGGGGCACTTTTCCTTGACCTATCACACAGTCAGTAAGCATAAAACTGGTCATCTGTTGAAGAGATACGTGCCTGCTGTGTGGGTCTGGGGTTGTATCTGGTGGAAGAACATTTGTCGCTGGGCAGCTTTCACAGAAATCAGAAGCCGTTATATATACGCTGTCACATACACACAAGGGGAAGGAATGATTTTCCACTGGGGATGGCAAGCCTTCATGTGTCCTCTTCTTCACCGGCACCACTACAAAGGAAAGGAGAACCAGGTGAGTTCAGACAACATAAGAAGGGAGGCAGCCTAGTCTACTGGTTGAAGGCACAGGCTGTTGTCAGACATCCCTGGATTCCAGTCCTGACCCTACCACCCACTGGTGGGCACTGTGGCCGTGGTCAAGTCATTTAGCGTCTCTAAGTTCTGATTTATTTGACTACAGGGATAATGATGGTAATAAAACCTACTTTCTTGGGTTATTGGAAGACTAAGTAAGATAATACATGTAAGATGCACAATGCTAGGTACACACAATAAGGAGTAGGTAAGGTAGTATTTTTTTAAAACTTACTTGACAAAATAAGTTGCTGGTAAAAATAAGCAGTTTGACTTACCCTAAGTCTTAAGCCATCTATTGTTAGGAGAGAAAAACAAAAAGAAGCTATCATTCTGTACTCCCAATGGCAATTCTCACTTGGAATAAAGCCAAGGTTTCAATTCATGCCACAGGGACAGTCACTGGGTTCAAATGTCACTTCTTCAGAGAAGGTACTCTAAGTAGAAATTCCTGATTATTCTCTATCTCCGCCTTATTTATGTCTTTACCCTGATCACATCTTATAAATTGTTTGCTATTTACTCTCCCCTCTATTTGATTAACTACTATTTTATTTTATTAACTGTCTATTTTATTAACTACTGTTTATCTAGCACTAGTATTGTGTTAGGTACATAGAAGTTTTCAAGAAATAGTTTTTAAAAAGGGAGTGAGAAATAAAAATGACAGGAAGAGAAGAGGGAGGGAGTTGAAAGGCATAGTCAGTCATTACTGCCCTGACCAGAGGATCCTAGATGTCAGTGATATTCCAGTGGCCGAAATAATGAGTCGAGCGTCCCAGAGGCGGGCTCGGAGCTCAGATGCTCAAGGTTACAGCCTCCCTGGCTTGGTACTGGGAAAGAACACTGTTGATAAAGGGACGGGGGCGAGAAGGCAGGGCTAGAAAAAGAAAGGGGGCAGGAGCAAGCATACAAGAAATGGAAAAGTAGCAAACTTGCCCAGTTTCTACAACTCCACTTCCAGGGGCCACAGTCCATAAAATCATAACAAGAGCCAATCTGAGCAAGTGGTTACTGTGTGCCAGGGGCACTGAGCTGAGCACTCCTCACCCATTCTAATATTCCTCATAACAACTCCAGAATGTAGGGACTATTATTTTTATTATCCCCATTTTCCATATGAAGAAAGTGAAGCTATGTGACTGAGATGTAAAATCTTCAAGTCACATAGTAAGGTTCGTGTCCTTAAAACTTAAGGATTAGTTTTGGCTGGATCAAGTCTGAAGTAGTCGAGCTGGGGTGCTTGGAAGGCAGGTAAAATCTCCTTCCTCCAGAAGAGACAGGAACTAAGGAAGAGGAAAGCCTTGGAGTGTACCAGCTCCCACCTATGACCTAGAAATTTTTTTCCTCACAAGTATCTATGTCTGTATAAAAGCTGTGCTCTTTTACATCCATTTGGGAAAGACTTTAAGGGAAAATATCCTAGGCAACTACATTGCAGTACTTCTGCTACGGGTGAAAATATTTCAAGACACAGAGCCTGACATCAAGATAAGTGTACTCTAAGGAGCCAAAAAACCAACTCGGCAACCATCACTATCCAAAACTCTGTCGTTTATGTTCCGTTTTCCTGCCTGTTGTCCAATGAAAGGAGCATGATAGGAAGGGCTGGACAGTGGACCGTCGTCATTAAGCAACAGTGCCTAGTGGCATCTGTCCCAAAGGGAACAAAGGATCTTTTATGAAAGTTTCTCATCAGAATCAAGGCACAGATGGAACTGGCGTCATATTCTCCCCCTTGGTATTATATCCAAAGCAAGCTCTTATTGTTCTCTTGTCAATTTTCCTTCAAATTCAAGAGATCTATCATGGTGACTGTGCCCTTTCCTTAAGCTACAGTTCACTTCCAGCATTCCTGAGATGCATAGTTTAAAGGGTTCATGAGCCTACTGGAATTGTATACAAAATTTTGTCTGGGTGTTCCTTTGTCTCAGGCCATAATTTTCATCATATTCACAAAGAGGTCAACACCCCTTCCCCAACTGAGTATAATAAAATTATAAGTAAATTAAGTTCTTTTTGAGTTGCCAGGTTCATTAATATAAGACTTGTAGAGTTGTCTTGGGGAAAAGGTCATAAGCTACGACTGATAAAATCTTTTCTCATTACCCTAAAAGAGAGCCATTCATGGGCCTGAATGATATAGTTCATCTCACAGTTTAAAAACCTGAGAATCTGGGATTCTGGAATATCACTGATTGATTCTTTCATCTGTTAAGTATTTACTGACTGCCAACTGAGCGTGAGGCATGTTGCTAGGCACGAGTAAGATGGACACAGTAGCTGCGCTTCTGGACTTAAGGCCTAGTAAGTGAGACACAGACAGAGACAGAGACATCCTACTTTGATCTACCTCCTCCTTGTCCTGAATTAATACCTACATCCACCTAACTTTCTTCCAGTGTTCCTAGCTTTGGCATCTAAAACATTACATTCCAGAGCAAGTACTTTCCTCTCCCCAAATGCCCTTCAAACATCTGGAGAGCAATAGTATCTTTCTTTACTTGCTTGGGGATTTTTTTTTTTTTACAACTCCAGATATAATGGAATATGGTATTAAATAGAAAGAAAGGCTGAGTTCTGTGGTTCTGACCCTTCTACTTGAACAGATCTCTATAAAAGTCAGCCCCTGCCAAACACTCGAGAGGTCAAATACTGAGAGATGCCTAGGTTAACTGGTCTCAGTCACAGACTGATCTAGTTTGAGAGTGCTGTTGTATCTCAAAGCAGTGATTTTAAAACTGGGGTAACATATATCCTTCTGGTACATAATGACTTTCTAGAGGGTATCTGGGAATGGGTAATTTTAAGGAAATAAATGTCTAGATTCTTAACTTTCATCTACACTCCTTCTTAAAATTAACCTTTCCAAGAAGGTGTCTGTGACCTATAGGTTCTCTCTTTAGTCACTCCCACTTTTATAATCAGCTTACTCCAACTTCAGAAAAAGAAATGCATACCTCTCACCCTCCTGAATCTTACCATTTTAGTGCCTTGGGACAATTTTAGAGCTTGCTTCTAAGAGGAGTCCTTTGAGAGCAGGGTAAGGAATTGTAAAGGAGGTAATCCCTTCTTTCATCTAGGTGATAAACTCTTGGCAAGGCTGTATGTCATCTGTCTATCTGTAGACTAAGAATTCACATTCAGAAGTGAGATGGTTGTCATGAGGTGTGTACTAATATGTTTATTTGAATTGAAAAACAAATCAGGCTTGGATTTGACAGAAAGCAAGACTAATTTGGCTGAATGGTTTGACCATAAACACCGTCTTCGTCTTAGTCAATTAGATTATATAGCGAATCTTGTCTGTAAATTTAATAAGCTAAATCTTCAGTACCAAAGTTTTGGCAAAAACATATATAAAGCTCATACTATATATAATCTGTCAGAAATCACATCCTTTTCCCATCCTCTAAACTTGATATATAATTTCAGGATTTAACTTAAAAATGGGCAAGGAGGCACATAATTTTTAAAAATATATTTTAAGAGTATAAGAATAAAAAGTTTAGTTAAAGGAACTGAGAGTTCCTAAATCCTGACTGGGAGGGTGGTCAGGCATTTAACACTGCCCTGGCTGGGGAGAGGGGTCAGAGTGACACAATGAAACTAAGGAGGCCTATCCAGAAGAATGCGGTGTCCCCTCTGCCAGTTGGCACACTGTCTGATGAAGAATCTCTTTAGTTTTGATTGGGTGCCTGTGAAGTTGAAGGAGCTGTTAGAGGCATGCCACAAGCCCCAGTCATATCCAGCCTCTAAACACCCTCTGGTAAAGTGATTATGATCAAGGAGTATTCACTTCCTGATGATTTTTTTTTAGCCAGTCCGTATAGGCGGGTAGCTCAGCTTTTCAGCTTCTGTTCCCAGAGAAGGAGGCTATAGAGGAAGTTAATAAGAGAGGTGACAGGCACTCTGACCTTATAAGTTTAACAGTTTCTTTTCCTGAGACTATGATACATCTTAATTTGATTTGGCATCACTCATATCTGCTGAGTTCTTGGCTATTTATTGCTATCAAAGGATAATTCAACTCAGGAACATAGAGAAATTAAGGGTATCAACAAGGGAGGAAGGCTAGATTCAGCTGAAATCAAAAAGATAGATTTAGTGTTCTCCAAGAATGAAGCCACACAAGTATTGCACAGGAGCTAATTAGAAAGTCTCTATTCACCATCTGAGGTGTGGCTGCCCAGTTACAGTAAGTATGCAATCGGCCTGGCTCAGGGAACGGGCCAAATGCCCAGACTCAGAAATACTCCACTACTAGACAGAGCAGAGCTGCCACTTTTGTCTCCCCTTTCACCTGCCCAAATAGCCTGGGCTGAAAGTGAGGGGGTTAGTGTGCTATAGGGGATCAGAACTTACATATTTAGCAGCCACCTGTGGAACTGAGATATAAGATAAAATGAAATGTCCTCAGTTTATTCTGGGTTAGCTCAGAAAAACATGAGAGGACTTCAGAGTTCTAGTCCTGGCTTTGCTGTATGACTCTGGGATCCAGTTTCCTCAAATGGGAAATTCGGATGTCTTGCATTATAAGTAAAATTTAGGAAAATTCCAAACCAGACAAGAGCTAACTTGTCTTTTCCAACTTCCAAACTTGTTGAGCTAATTAATTAGTTCTCATTTATACTATTTTCTCTCTTGCTTCCTGTGCATTTCTCTCTTTCCCATTCCTCCCAATTCAATCTGAAGACTGGCCTAGGTGTTCCAAGTTCTTTTACCTCTTTTTTCTGGCTGGGCCCAAACACCAGGTTAATTAATAATACTGTTTGATTAATACCTATTACAGACTCAAGAGTAAGCTCTGATTTGAGGAAAAAGCTCCATGATTCCCCCGATTCATCATGATTCTTAAAAAAGTCTAAAGTGACTCTAGCCTTGTTTTTTCTCAAATCACAGGAAAGACAGAAAGA